CTCTCCGGGTGTGCAACGGATTTTGAGTTCGCTTAACTAAAGGGATATCCCTGAACCTCATTAGCAGCTTCTTCCTGACTGATCTTTCGCGAGGGTCTTTTGGCTTCTGGGAAACCGGAAGGCATTCGAGAAGCCATTTTTCTTCGAACCACGGCTGACTATTATGCTTGAAGAAACTTCTTACGAAAATACGATAGCACGAATCGGCTGCCATACTAAATCCCTTTTCTGCTCATTCTACCTACCTTACCTTACCAACTTTTGCCGAAATTCCGTCGAGCGAGATGGTCTGCGGAGGGCAGACACCTTCGACCAGTTACCAGAATCAGTAATTTGAGCTGCCTGAAATACGACCCTTCTGTATCCAGCAGCCAAATCAATACCCGTCGTGCTTCACACGCAGATAGTGAACCTGATTAGAACAGATTAGAACAGTCGAGCATGTGTGTCGATGGAAGCCTTAGGACCACTAGTTCCAGGGTCCCAGGAATCCTATTTCGAAATGTTTTCAGTATCTTCCCGGTCCCATCGGACGTAACGCTACACCTCATAATTCTCGTTCTCTGACGGCTTTTTATCAAATAATCTTTATTCAATATCAAAATACTCGAAATACAAATAAGTAGAAATAGAAGATTAGTAGAGGATCGATAAACTAAAAGGGAACATGATTCCGTTGTAGTGCTACAATGACTGTTCCAGAATGCGTTCACACTTTGGACAGCCTGACGCGAATAATGGATGGGCGCGAATAATCGATTGTTTCCACCTAAAATCGATAATCATATTGATGCACATTAGCTAGAGCAGCTGGACGATGGTAACCTGCAGACGAGGTAACTATTGCAGATGAATAGTTCAAAATTTAACATCCGGGTGCGCTTTCCTCAGCAATGCTTGGTCTTCACTCGAGAGCTCCTGCAAAAAGCAATAGGCAGTAGCAGTTACTATTTAGAGTGGAAACACTTATACAGCATTAGAGCACAAATGGGCCAACTGGGGGGGGGGGGGGGGCAACCACGCGCATTGCCAATAGATACAATCTTCCCATGGCTGATGCTCGAGCGGGTCGTAGTCGTTCTCGGGAGGGGGGGGGGGGCTTCGAGAGAAATTCGTCACGTGAGGAGAGGAATTCCCAGTTGCTGTTTTTTCGCGGTCTTTCCCGTTTCGTGTTGGTTGTATACCCCCCTCGACGGAAAACTTTTGGGTGCAAAGCTGGAAAATCTAGGAAACCGGCAGAAGGCTGGAAACTTGTATGAATGTAGGAAAGTAGTAGGTAGGTGTTGGGGAAGAGGGGAGGGTCGTACCGAAACCCTCATTCAGGTGGGGGGAGGACCAAACAGAGACCCTCTTTCAGGTCGGTGAATCGTACCGAAACCCTCTTTCAGGGGAAGACGTACCAAGACCCTTTTCCTCGAAGGGGTAGAGGAAGTCATACAGAGACCCTCCTCCGAGGGGGGAGGGGGTGGGTGGGGTCGTACTGACACCACCATTTCACACATCACGATGCTGTGCCCTGCCTCCGATACTGACCGCTCTCACGTTGATTGCCTGCGCTCTGCTAAGGTTCCGCATGGTGGAGAGAAGGGACCAAGGTCCCGGTGAGAAGAGCAAACAGAGAGGTTTGTGTTAGTCGTACTGTCTCCTCCCCATTCATCAGCACCGCAGTGAGGTCTATAGACTGAAACACAACCAGTCTCTCCAGCAATCCAGGATAATTACTGAGTACGTGGCGCATTGAAAGACCCAGCATTACTAAAAAGTTACCTGGAACGCTTTGTGCAGCTTTTCTGCCTCATCGAACGTACACTGCTTGCCAAGAGTCAAATGGCACATCACCTTTGTAACGAAAGCAATGCACTGAAAAGAAAGTTACCCATAAATCGTGCCACAATGAACTTCTACTTTCACCTATTAGTCTCTCAATCATTATGCGCGGATGTTCAAAGCATGGCGCATTCTGAGAGGGTCATACATCCCTAACTTACTATAACTACCTCGCGTGGCATCGAAGTTGCAGGGGCGCGGCGAGAAGGTGACGCATGTGTGCCACGCGACATTCGTGACGGAACCTAATTGTTCGATGCCAAAAGTGCCCAAAAGCGACTGCAGAAAAACAAAAGTCAAACTAGCAATGTAACCTGGTGAAAAATGCAGCGCTCGCTAGTCTCTACACGGGATTAGCTTCCTGGCTCATAGAGAATAGAAAAGGTAGAACTATGCTCTCGGAGCTCTTGGCCCTCACCCTCAGTTACCCAAGCCCTGATGGCATTTCGTTTTTGTTATATTATGATTGGCCTCAAGATTCCCTTATTCTCATTTCATAGCAAGAAAAAAATGCTTTGAGTTGAGTTGGTTCCCGGGTTACCAGTCTTGTCCTGGGATTCGGTGGTGCTAGCAAGACGAACTAAACCCGTTTCATTACCGTATCAAGAAGGTTCGCGTCAACATATGCGAGCGCGTGATTGTGAGTCTCCGCCCTTCCAAGTACCGTGGAATGTCTCTTAAGCTATCCTGCTCAGAATGCAGGGGTTTTTGTAAGGACAAAGTTAGCAGGGGATCACGCTGAGGTGCGAACACTCCAGTCGCGCCGCCGCGCTTTCCAACCCTCCTTCCCCTCGGTCTCACAGATGCTTTTGTTCTGAGTTCTTTCAGCTGCGCTCACTCGAATCTCACTGATCTTTGCAATCCTAGTATGTACGTACGTTCCAACCTCAAGACTTCAGCGCAAACTATGTCTCCCAGATGAAGCCATGAAGCGTGAAAGTAAACGGGCTACTGTTTCTCGTCCACTTTGCGATTCGTCACCCCATCCCAGAAGGAACTAAGAGCCCAAGATCCCGATATGTGTAACTTCTCCAAAGAACCGTCCTCTCCTTATTGACCTCCCAGTGAACCATACTAAAGCCCCAGTCTAAAAACTCGACATGAACGCTAACGAGCTCCCCTAGGTTATTTTACACAGGCCTGCAGGATAGCGCTAGTCAAGCTTCTCAGGCGTGTAGGGTCAGAATGTGAACCTGGCATACCATATGTGTAGCCTCTTGGAGCTACTTAAAGACAGTGGGGACAATCGCTGAGGGTGGGCAGTTGTAGCTGATGTCATTGGTGGAAATGCTCAGTGTGGTGTGGCTGCAGAACCCTTTCAAAGCCCTCTACCATTGACGCTGGCTACAATCTTCCCCAGCTCTCGAGTGCGCAAACCCCTTTATGATGCTGGATGGAATTCGAATGAGTAAATACGTCTTTCAGCCTTTTTTT